GAAAACATTATTGCTCCATTTCAAGGGTAAAGTCATCAATTTGATAAAATATAAACTAATTTGACATAACTAAATGTCAAAAAAACATTTTTAAAATTTTAAAAATTATTTCTACTCACCAAAAATAAAATTATATAAAAATGATAAATCTTTTACAGTTTTATTTTTTCTATTTTTTTACCGAATTAATTTTTGGTAAGTGTTTGGATGATGATCATGTAATGGGTGATTGTTTTTGTTGATATTTTTTTATCGTTATCATGTAATGGATAGTTGTATTTGTTGTTAACAAATATTTTTATATGGTTATTATATAATGGTTGGTTATTAACTTTTAATGTCTAATTGATATGTTTAATATATGAAATGCTTTTAGTTTTTGATTTGTTTATTCAAGGGATTGGTTTAATAACGACATTAAGGTTGTCGCAATGTTTGACTTTTCAAAAATAAAAACTAATTTAATGAAAGTAAATAAATAAATAATTATTTTAAAAAATTATTTCTACCTTCTCAAAAGATAAAATTATATATAAATGATGTGTATTTAATTTTTTTTTCATCAATTAAATTTTTCACTTTCTTAAAAAAAATTACTAAAAATAAATTCCGAAAACCAATCCAAACAAAACTTTATTACCAAAAAATATCTAACATTATTCACTAAAAAAAAGACATTATATTTCAAACAACATATAAGTTAACCAGCACAAAATAAGTTTTATGACGACTTTGCCCTTCCTATGGAGCAACAATTGTCTTCAATTGCCCTTATTTGGAACAAGATTTAAAATTTAGAGTCAAATGTATCACAACAGAAAGATTAGGGACCAAAATGATATAAGCCTCAAACTTTAAGGACTGTTAGTGTAATTCGCCCTAACTTAAAAATTGATCAGGGTATCACCAATTTAAGATTAAGGAAGGAGACATACCGAAAACGGCTTTTCGAGCTCGCTGCATGCATTATGAATTTCTTGTTATGCCTTTTGGTCTAACTAATGCTCTCGCCGCATTTATAAACCTTATTAATAGAGTGTTTCAACCATACCTTGACCAATTTGTGATTGTATTTATTGATGACATACTTGTTTATTTAAAGAGTCAAGAGAATCATCAATAACACTTGCGGGTGGTATTGCAGACTTTACGAGGAAAAAAAAGTTGTATGCAAAGTTTAGCAAATATGAGTTTTGGTTAGATTGTGTCATATTTTTCGAGCATGTGGTTTCAAATGAAGACAATTTTGTGGATCCGAAGAAAATAGAGGCTGTGGTGAATTGGGATCGTCCTAGTAATGTGATCGAGATGAAGAGCGTTTTAGGGTTGGCAGGCTACAACTGCAGATTTGTAGAGGGGTTTTCATTGATTGCAGCACCATTAACACGTTTGACCCGTAAGAATACCAAATTTGAGTTGGACGGAGAATTGTGAAAAAAGTTTTCAAAAATTAAAGAAGCGATCAACTTCTGCCCCAGTGCTTACTATTTCGTTAAGTAGTGAAGGATTTGTTGTTTACAGTGATGCCTCTCATCAAGAGCTTGGTTGTGAGTTGATGCAACATGGAAAGGTGGTGACCTATGCATCTAGACAATTGAAGAATCATGAACGCAATTATCCCACTCATGATTTAGAGCTCGCATCAGTTGTTTTTGCTTTAAAATTGTGGAGACATTATGTATATGGGGAAAAATGTGAGATATATACCAATCATAAGAGTTTGAAATATTTATTCACACAGAGGGATTTAAATTTGAGGCAAAGGAGATGGATTGAATAGATTAGGGACTATGACTGGACCATTAATTATCATCCTGGAAAAACTAATTTGGTTGCTGATGCTCTTAGTCGAAAATCTACAAGGAGATTAACTCACATTCAGGGCATTCAATTTAGTCTCTTACATGAAATAAAATCTATTGGAGTTGATCTAGAAGTTGAGAAGTCAGGATCCTTGTTAGCTAATTTTAAAGTGAGACCTTTGTTGGTGGATCGCCTTCGAGAGGCCTAAGGGAAAGACTCAATTTTGGAGAAGACCCAAGCTCAAGTGCAAGATGGTACTCTATCAAACTTTATTATTAAAGAAGATGGTGTATTGATGTTTAAAAATCGATTATGTGTTCCAAATGAGCCCAAGATAAAAAAAAAAAAAGGGAGATATTAGATGAGGCCCATAATTCACCTTATGCAATGCATCCGGGGAGTACAAAGACGTATCGAAATTTAAGAGAAAGTTATTGGTGGTCAAATATAAAGAGAGAGATAGCAGAATTTGTGTCAAGGTGTTTGGTATGTTAGCAGATTAAAATAGAGCATCAACACCTAGCCAGTTTACTTCAACCTCTTCTTATACCTGAATGGAAATGGGAGCATATCACCATGGATTTTGTTTCGGGCTTGCCTCACACACAAAAGGGATATGACTCTATTTGGGTGGTTATAGATAGGTTGACCAAATATGTACACCTTTTGGCTACTAAGAAAAACTTTTCACTTGATCAATTAGCAAAAAATTATGTGGATAAAATCGTGAGATTGCATGGTGTGTCGGTAACTATTGTTTCAGACAGAGACTCATGCTTCACATCCCATTTTTGGCCTAGTCTTCAAAATGCCTTGGCTACTAAATTGAGATTCAGTGCAACTTTTCTCCCCCAAACTAACGGGCAATCGGAGAGGACAATCCAAACTTTAGTAGACATGTTGAGAGCTTGTGTCCAAGATTTTCGAGGTAGTTGGGATGAACATTTGACGTTAATAGAATTTGCATATAATAATTGTTATCAATCAAGTATTAGAATGGCACCCTATGAAGCTTTATACGAGCGAAGAAGTATAACTCCAGTGTGCTTTTAACACCCCCAAAATAATACAAATAATTCAACTCACAAGAGAAATGAATATAAAAGAATTAATATACTTTCATATATCAGAGTTCGTATTACAAAAGATATTACATGCATTAAACATTCATAATGTTCATCCTGAATCTATAGCATGTAACACTAGTTAATAACATCAAAATAAATGCCCAACGGGCTTACATCTTTCCAAGACATTACATGGTTACAACGAAAGAGAGTACTAAGCTCTATACATATAAAGTCTTCGGCTTGAATAAACATTTAAACACAAAATAACAAAATAGAGCCTCCAGCTCCTAAGTCCTCCCAAGCTACATCCTTGGAAGAAGCATGTCATCGGTACCTAAAAATGGTTTTCCAAGTATGGTGAGACAAAGCCCAGTAGAAACAGTCTATTACAGTATATGACGTTTAACTAAGGTATAAGTGTCAAATAAGCATTCAATATTATAACTAACATACATTCTTTCCATGACCATTTAGTATTTATACTCACATCTCAATCCATTTCCATTTATTCATTTCAAGTTAATTTATTTCATTTCAAGTCATATGCCAAGTGTATAATTTTCCAAATAATCCAACCGAGACTACAACTCAGTGGTTCTCAATCAACATAACTATCATACAAACACTTCAATCTTGCCATTTTACGGAAATTTCGTCCGCAGGATTGGCACCCTTATATGCATAAGATTTCAGGACTTTCACCCTGGACACTCCGGCCAACTTAATTTCAATGGAGTCCATCCCCTATCTCCTCCCAAACATGGAGTACATCTCTTTTCTCCTCCCAAAACGTTATGCATATACAATGTATTTAAAAGTATCGTCATATTCAATGACTATCAACTATACATACTCAATGCCTTATCATACCATCATATTCAATGACACAATTTAAATGATTAGTTTCAATTCACCTAATCCTCATGCAATTTCTACAACAATCATAGCTATCCTCCACTGATAGCCCAATACAGTTATTTCTAGACAGATATACAACCTTTATAACAGATAATTCATCAAATTTCTATAGGTAAGTGATTAAACAAATCCAACTACACCATTCATTTATACATCCTCCCAATTTCATATTTCTCATACCAATTCCATTATTTATACAAAATAATTATTTAACACATATTAGGGCAAATTTTTCCCTTTTTCAAATATCAATCCAAGTGCTAAATTCCACCATTCTAACACAAGAGAACTTCATATTCAAACCCCATATTCATTTATGTAACCCAACATGGAAACCCCTCTTTTCAATTTGAATCCAAACCCTAAGTTTACCCAAATTACTCCCAAATCTCACCTTGTATACATAACAACAAATAACTAGGTCAAAGATCATAACAAAGTGTAGAATATCCATACCTCGAGTGTAGAAGAGCAAAGGAGAAGTGGAGAAACCTCAAAGATGCCCAAACTCGATTTTATTCAGATTAAATGGAAGCCCATGGGACGCTTTATCTTTTCATCAAAGGAAGTAGGATTGAGAGATCCCTAAATCTAGGTGTATTTATAGAGAGAAGTCAAATTTTAGAGAGAGACGGAGCCGATCTAGGGTTTTTGAGTGAAAGGATAGCAAAAAGTGATGTAAAAATGAGCTGCTGCGAACTGATATACATGAGGCTTGCTCGAGCGAAGGAGTTGTCGCTCGAACGACTAGACACAATAAGTGACCTCGCTCGAGTGTAAGAAGCATTGCTCGAGCGCAGAATACATACCTTCAGAAGTTTTATAGACACACACTGTCATTCGAGTGCAAAAAGCTTTGCTCGAGTAAAGAACATCACCCTTCCAGAATCTCTGCAAGCCTGCAAAAATGCTGAGAGCTCACAAATCTCGCTCAAGCGAAGAATCAATTTCTGGACAGCAACAACTTCAACTAGTAACCAACCTATCCCAAACATGCCAAAGGCATTCCAAAACTTCAATTCAAAGACAAATGAGGGAAAACAAGACATGGATAACAATATTAAACCACAAAGCCCAAGTCCAGAATATAACAATGGTCGGGTCAAAATTGGGATCGCTATAGTGTTGGGATGAGATTGGAGAGAGAAAATTGTTAAGGCCAGAGATTGTTCAAATTACTACTGATAAAGTGCATAATATTTGAGAAAGGTTGAAGGCGGCTCAAAGTAGACAAAAGAGCTATACAGATAATCGGAGGAGGGATTTGGAATTTCAAGTTGGACATCATGTATTTTTACGAAACTCGCCGTGGAAGGCAGTAATGCGATTCGGTAAGAAAGGCAAACTAAGTCCAAGGTATATTGGGCCATTTAAGATACTAGAGCGCATTGACAAGACAACTTATCATTTGGCTTTACCACCTAGTCTATCTCACATTCACAATGTGTTTCATGTATCCACGTTGAAGAAGTACATGCCTGACCCATCACACGTGTTAGATTTCCAACCAATCCGACTAAAGGATGATTTGTCTTATGAAGACGAAGCCATAGATATTATGGACAAGAAGGATCAAGTACTACATTCTAAGACTGTACCACTAGTAAAAGTATTGTGGAAGAATCATGCCTTGGAGGAAGCTAATTGGGAGCGTGAGGATGATATGAATATTCGATAGCCACATCTTTTTCAAGGTATGAACTGGACTAAATAAATAAATAAATTTCGTCGATGAAATTTCCTTTAAGGGGTAGAATTATATTATTCCCAACATTCATCTAGAGCCAAACACACTCCTAAGTTAAACTCCACTTGGGGTATCAAAATCAAACTCCAAACTTGATAGTAAGTGTGACCAAACACCCCATTTCAACTAAAACAAAAATGCAGTTTTTTATTTCATTCTCTTTATTCTTCTCTCTCTCTAACTTCTCTCTACATTCTCTCTCATTTTCCTTTACTTTCTTGGTGGCCTAACACCCCACCTTTGCTCCACCCTTACACCACCACCTTAACCAACCATCTCCACCACCACCGGCCATTTTATCTTGCAGGAAAAAGGTCCGATCGGCCACTCCACAACTCTATCCAAAAATAACACAACAGTAGTACCAACTATAGATTTTTCTTAATCTTTTGAAGAACCAAGGCTTGGGGTTTATTTTCTTGATGGATTAGAGAATTTTAATTGGTAAGAATCTTTCGTAAAAAGTTTACTTTAAGGTTTTACGTATTTTGAGTTAGAGATGATGAATTTTTATTTAGATCTATATGTTGAAATTGATTTGATACATGGTGGATTGGGTATCTCTATATTCTATAAATGATTTTGGAGGAATTTTATAAATGATTGAAGTGGTTTTACCTAAGTTGTTGAGTTTATGCCAATGTTGATTTTTGACTTTTGTGGTTAATTGATGGTGGTATTGTGTATATAAATTGGTTGGATATTTAAAAAGTTAATAACTTAAAAATGTACAAAGGTCGGGTGTTGTGGAGATTGGATAAGTTGTTTGTTTGGGTGACTTGAAGTTGGAGGAGTTCTTTAGCTTGGTTTTAGCTCTCATTACATAGTATGACTTATTTAGGATCAATTTTGTAGATGTTGTAATTTTGATTGAAATATTTTCCCTAATTTTAGATCTTATTTACTAATTGCTAGGATTGGAGGAAGGCGTCTCTACACCTCTTGGGAATTAACTCATAGAGTTTCAAATCTATGCTTTTGCTATTTTAGAGGTGAGTATACTTACCATGGAAATTTACCTTATCTCTATCTGTAAAACTGAGTTTGAAAATAATTTGAATTCAAGGAAGTGAATGACACATTTTATCATGATATATGTATAAAAGGAAAATCTATAAATTTATTAAGATCAAAAGGTTGAGTTTAAATAAGTGTTTTCATTTGTATAATGAAGTATTTTTTTTTTTTATGAGAACTTATTTAAGTTGAGTCTTTCAAATTTTATGATGATGATGATTGACTGACAATGAAACGTTATGCAAAAGTATTTGTTTTTATTGATCATATAACCGAATATAACCTATGGGGCCACAAGGGCTAGAATGCTTTGGGGTCCTAGGGACCGAAATGTTTTAAGGACCATAAGGGTGGTTTACATAAGGGGTCCTAGGGACAGAAATATTGAAATGAGAATAGAATTGCTACGGTGACATGAGTTACGTTCCTATGGATATGTTTTGGGTAACGGTACCGTCACCACCTAAGTCGTGAGGTAATGCGACCCTAAGGCTATGTAGTGGTTCGTATGATGAACATGAGATCATAATGTATTGAAATGTTGTATTTGTTTTGTTTACTTTCCTTATTCAACTGTATTTTTCCTGCATTATAAGATTCTTTGGGGAAAAAAATTCTTGATAATGCTTTAAGCAATAATTTTTTCATTTTGTCTAAATTTCAATGCAATCAAGCTCTTATGTTTATTATCTTTATTTTGAACACAATTGGAAGGAACAAATTTTATAATTCCATGGAATTTGTATACACATTGGGCTCTAGCTCATTCTTTTTAAATTAATTTTTTTTCAGATTCCTAAACTTTAGCGTGGCTCACCTCAACTTGGAAGATTAGAGTTTCTGCAGGATCAAATGTGGGCATTTGTAATTGAGGTTTTTGTTTAGGGTCACTCTAGGATGTAGTTTTATCCTTTGTTTTTACAAAAGAGGTTGATTGTAAATATTTGCTTCATGAAGTTGGAGGTAATGATGGATTCATGAATAATATTTTTTGGGGGGTAGTGATGCATGGGTACTATCTTAGTAGCATGATGCTATTTTGTCTTCGAATGGATCATCTAATATATGTTGGCCAATCGAAAGGTTTTATGCACTATTGGAGATGTGAATATAAGGATTATACAGGTGATTATTGTGTACCGGTGCTATAGTGTTTGAAGTGCACCCTCTTGGCATGGTTTGTCTTGTCGAGATTGGGTCGTGGCATTTTTGGTATCAGAGCGTTAGGTTATGAATCTGTAGACTTGTTACTTTGGAATTAAAATTGATAGGATATGGTAGTTAGTAATTCGATTGTTGATGATGTTTAATAGTGATCTAGTACTCTAAGATTTAATTGTCTTGTTATACAGGGACATATGGCAAGGCGAAAAGTTCATAAGAGTCGCCCCCTTATAGAAATACTTGAGGCTGAGCGAGAGCCACATCTTAGTGTTGGAAATGTTGTTCCACCTCAGGTTCAGGAAGAAGAGATGGAACATGAATCGCATAATGAGCAAACTCAAGAGTCAAATGCCAAGCCATAAGTGGGGCTTTCAGATGGAGTTGTACCACCAAGGGCTAATGCAGCTCCAGCATTTTTAAACCCTAGTGTGCAGCGCCTTTTAGAGTCTGTGGCTAGCCTAGCAGAAAGGCAAACTCACATCATTGAACAACATAATGTAGCGTAGGCCAGGCCATTGGTGCAACCAACAGAGAACCGTCTCACCATAATTGAGAGGTTTAAGAAGTTAGGGGCTCTATCATTTTCTAGATTGCCAAGTCCTAGGGAGGCAAAGGCTTTGTTACAGAGGGTAGAGCAGATATTTTCTATGATAGAAGTATCAAACGAGCAGCAAGGTGCACTTGCTAGTTTTATAGTGGTGAAGGAGGCCGAATATTAGTAGGAGGCAACGCAACGCCTGCTTACGGAAGGTCGCACCAGAGGATCGACCTGGAACCAATTCACTAAGGTTTTTAATGACAAGTACTTTCCAGCTACCTATCGGTATGAAAAAGATAGAGAGTTCCTTCCGCTAGAGCAAGAGGATTTGATTGTAGCCCAGTATGAAGCTAAGTTCATTTCTTTATCTCATTTTGCCCCTTCATTTGTGGATAATGAGGAGGTTAAATGTCGTCGTTTTACAGATAGATTGGATTTGGACATCAAACCTTGTATTTGAGTATTGGGAATTACTAACTATCCAACCTTTGTTGATAAGGCCTTAATAGCTGAGAAATATGTCATAGAAATGAAGTTAGCAGAACAACAGAAGAAGTGCCACCTTAATTCATTCCATCATGAGAACACATCTAATAAACCTTCCAAGAGAGGTGGTCATGGTTATGGTTCAGTCAAGAGCTCAAATGCATGTTAAAAAAATAAAGAGTATCCCACCCTAACCTAAAGCATTTCTAATCAGCGTCATAGACAGTCTAGTGGGGCATCATCTCAATTTACTCGAAGTGTTTACAGGCAGTGTAGGCGAGCACATACAAGCGTATGTCATGCTGGTACCGACTTGTGTTTTCATTGTGGCCAGAAAGGTCATTTGGTGAAAGACTACATAGTTTCTAAGGTGACTAATTTCGGAGATACACGAGCTTGCTTCAATTGTGGGCAATCCGGACATTTGGCTAGTGATTGCACTCGAACCGCTTCTTCTGCTAGTACTGGAGTTGGTAATAATAGAGCTTCAAGTGGAGCCTGAGGGGAAGGCCGAGGGGAAGGGCAGGTAGGGACTAGGTTTGGCAAGCAGAATAAAGGAGGTGTTCAATCTGATAGACAAACCTCACACGGGAGAATTTTTGCTTTGACTCAGCGGGATGCTCAGGCTAATCCGGAGGTGGTGACAGGTATTATTTATGTGTTCAGTAGGGAGTCACATGTACTTATTGGTCTAGGTTCTACGCATTCTTTCGTATCTCTATCATTTTCTTTGCATGCTGATAAACCTATTGAACCTCTAGGCTATTGTTTATCTATTAGTACTCCAATTACGGATTGTGTTATAATTGAGGAGGTATATCGAGGTTCTATGCTACAGTTGGGAGATAAGGAGATGGTAGCGGATTTATTGCCTTTAAGGATGCTTGATTTTGATTTTATTTTGGGAATGGATCGGTTGGCTTCTTACCATGCTACGGTGGATTGTTATAGGAAAGAGGTAGTATTTTCCAATTTTGGGGAACCTGAATTTAGATTTTGTGGAGATCGATGTGCGTCCCCATCTTATGTTATTTCTGTTATTACCGCTAGAGAAATGCTTAAGAAGGGGTGTCAAGGATACTTAGCCTATGTGGTTGACTCCGAATTGAGTGGTCTAAGGTTGGAGGATATACCAATTGTGCGTGACTTCGTAGATATTTTTCCTGATGAATTACCTGGATTACCCCCAGATCGAGAAATTGAGTTTGCTATTGACTTAATTCCTGGAAATACCCCAATTTCTAGTGCACCTTATCGTATGGCCCCAGAGGAACTTAAGGAGCTTAAGATGCAATTACAAGAGTTATTAGATAAAGGCTGAATAGGGCAAGTGTCTCACCTTGGGGATCACCTGTGTTATTTGTGAATAAAAAAGATGGCACCATGAGATTGTGCATTAACTGCCGGCAGTTAAATAAGGTCACGGTGCGTAATAAGTATCCCTTGCCTCGTATAGATGATTTGTTTAACCAACTTCAGGGAGCATGTGTGTTCTCAAAAATCAATCTCAGATCAGGGTATCACCGACTTAAGATTAAGGAAGGAGACATACCAAAAATAGCTTTTCGAACTCGCTACGGGCATTATGAATTTCTTGTTATGCCTTTTGGTCTAACTAATGCCCTCGCCACATTTATAGATCTTATGAATAAAGTGTTTCAACCATACCTTGACCAATTTGTGATTGTATTTATTGATGACATATTTGTTTATTCAAAGAGTCAAGCAAATCATCAACAACACTTATGGGTGGTATTGCAGACTTTATAAGAAAAAAAGTTGTATGCGAAGTTTAGCAAATGTGAGTTTTGGTTAGATCGTGTCATATTTTTGGGGCATGTGGTTTTGAGTGAAGCAATTTTTGTGTATCCGAAGAAAATAGAGGTTGTGATGAATTGGAATTGTCCTACTAACGTGATCGAGGAGAGGAGCTTTTTAGGGTTGGCAGGCTACTATCGCAGATTTGTAGAGGGGTTTTCATTGATTGCAACACCATTAACACGTTTGACCCGTAAGAATACCAAATTTGAGTGGACGGAGAATTGTGAAAAAAGTTTTCAAGAATTAAAGAAGTGACTAACTTCTGCCCCAGTGCTTACTATTCTGCTAAGTGGCGAAGGATTTGTTGTTTACACTGATGCCTCTCATCAAGAGCTCGGTTGCGTTTTAATCCAACATGGAAAGGTGGTGGCCTATGCATCTAGACAATTAAAGAATCATGAACGCAATTTTCTCACCCATGATTTAGAGCTTGCAACAGTTGTTTTTGCTTTAAAGTTGTGGAAAACATTATTTATATGGGGAAAAATGTGAGATATATACCGATCATAAGAGTTTGAAATATTTATTCACACAAAGGGATTTAAATTTGAGGCAAAGGAGATGGATTGAACTGATTAAGGACTATGACTGTACCATTAATTATCATCCAGGAAAAGCTAATTTGGCGGCTGATGCTCTTAGTGGGAAATCTACAGGGAGATTAACTCGCATTCAAGGCATTCAATTTAGTCTCTTACATGAAATAAAATCTATTGGAGTTGATCTAGCAGTTGGGAAGTTAGGATCCTTGTTAGCTACAATTAAAGTGAGACCTTTGTTGGTGGATCACAGTCAAGAGGCTCAAGGGAAAGACTCAGTTTTGGAGAAGACCCGAGCTCGAGTGAAAGAAGGTACTCTATCAGACTTTGTTATTAAAGAAGATGGTGTACTGATGTTTAAAAATCGATTATGTGTTCCAAATGAGCCCGAGATAAAAGGGAGATATTAGATGAGGCCCATAATTCACCTTGTGCAATGCATTCGAGGAGTACAAAGATGCATCGAAATTTAAGTGAAAGTTATTGGTGGTCAAATATAAAGAGAGAGATAGCATAATTTGTGTCAAGATGTTTGGTATGTTAGCAAATTAAAACAAAGCATCAATGCCCACCCGATTTACTTCAACCTCTTCCTATACCTGAATGGAAATGGGTGCATATCACCATGGATTTTGTTTCGAGCCTGCCTCGCACACAAAAAGGGCATGACTCTATTTGGGTGGTTGTAGAAAGGTTGACCAAATATGCACACTTTTGGCTACTAAGAAAAACTTTTCACTTGATCAATTAGCAAAAAATTATGTGGATGAAATTGTGAGATTGCATGGTATGCCAGTAACTATTGTTTCAGACAGAGACTCACGCTTCACATCCCCCTTTTGGCCTAGTCTTCAAACTGCCTCAAGTACTAAATTGAGATTCAGTACAGCTTTTCACCCCCAAACTAATGGGCAACCCGAGAGGACAATCCAAACTTTAGAAGACATGTTGAGAGCTTGTGTCCTAGATTTTTGAGGTAGTTGGGATGAACACTTCACCTTAATAGAAATTGCATATAATAATAGTTATCAATCAAGTATTGGAATGGCTCCCCATGAAGCTTTATGCGAGCGAGGATGTAGAACTCCAGTGTGTTGGGATGAGATTGGAGAGAGAAAATTGTTAGGTCCAGAGATTGTTCAAATTACTATCGATAAAGTGCATATTATTTGAGAAAGGTTGAAAACAGTTCAAAGTAGACAAAAGAGCTACGCAGATAATCGGAGGAGGGATTTGGAATTTCAAGTTTGAGATCTTGTATTTTTACGAATCTCGCCATGGAAGTAAGAAAGGCAAACTAAGTCCAAGGTATATTGGGCCATTTGAGATACTAGAATGCATTGGCAAGACAGCTTATCATTTGGCTTTACCACCTAGTCTATCTCGCATTCACAATGTGTTTCATGTATCCATGCTGAAGAAGTACATGCCTGACCCGTCACACGTGTTAGATTTCCAACCAATCCGACTCAAGGATGATTTGTCTTATGAAGAGGAAGCCATAGAGACTATGGACAAGAAGGATTAAGTACTACATTCTAAGACTATACCACTAGTAAAAGTATTGTGGAAGAATCATGCTTTGGAGGAAGCTATTTGGGAGTGGGAGGATGATATGAAAATTCAATATCCACATCTTTTTCAAGATATGGAGCAGACTAAATAAATAAATAAATTTCATGGATGAAATTTCCTTTAGGGGGTAGAATTATAATATTCCCAACATTCATCTAGTGCGAAACACACTCCTAAGTTAAACTCCACTTAGAATATCAAAACCCAACTCCAAACTTGATAGTAGGTGTGACCAAACACCCCATTTAAACTAAAACAAAAATGCAGTTTTTTATTTCATTCTCTTTATTCTTCTCTCTCTCTAACTGCTCTCTACATTCTCTCTCATTTTCCTTTACTTTCTTGGTGGCCTAACACCCCACCTTTGCTCCACCCTTACACCACCACCTTAACCAACCATCTCCACCACCACCGGCCATTTTATCTTGCAGGAAAAAGGTCCGATCGGACACTCCACAACTCTATCCAAAAATAACACAACAGTAGTACCAACTCTAGATTTTTCTTAATCTTTTGAAGAACCAAAGCTTGGGGTTTATTTTCTTGATGGATTAGAGACTTTTAATTGGTAAGAATCTTTCGTAAAAAGTTTGTTGGAAATCGTGGAAAAATTCTGGGTAAAACCAGAATTTTTTCTCAATTTTGGTCTATTTTTTAGGTGGGCCCCGAGCATCGATTTACTCGGGTCAAAGTGGTAACGCGTTCTATGCCGCGTTGTGATTCACGTGGTATATTTGGTTGCTCAAAACCATTACCGAGTGAATGGGAAATTGAAGCCAAAGTGTGCTCCATGGAAATGGAGTTTTGGTGGAAATTCCTTAAGGTTGTAAACTTATCCCACATTGATTTGGTGGGAAGTTTTGAAAGGGTTTATAAGGCTTAGGGTGAGATAATGGCTCCAGTTTCTCTCCAGTTGCAAGCGAAGAATGGATTGTAGGCTCATTACAAGATGTATATAAAAGATTTGATTTGTTCATTTTTAGGTTTTATGTTTAGATTTTTAATGAAAAAAAATTAAATCATATGGCATCGAATTAATCGTCCGTTTTTTTTTTTTTTTTAAATGATCTATACGTAGGAGCTTTAAAAATAAATGGACTTATAAGGACCTAATAGCATATGATCCAGTTTTCTCACCCAACTAGAGCGAAGCTAGACGTTTTTGTATGCGTTCTCATAAATGTCACACTATGAACAAAGTAGTTTAGGCTATTTTAGCATTAATCGTTATATATAGGCTCCGTTTGGCAAGAGTTAAACTGGGCTTTTTTGGCTATTTTAGCCACAAAAGACAAAATAGGCTATTTTAGCCACAAAAAATAAAATATCACATCCAACCTATAATCATTACACTCTTCTCTCACAAAAAAAAAA